CACAAAATTATCCACCAATAAATGCAACTGGTCAGGATAGAAATCGCCTCTTGAACGGAAACTCCCCCATTAGGTAATGTAGAGTATTTATCGATGCCCGTATTTCAAATAATATTTGAAATTCCTCTGGGAATGGAATTACTTGGCTAATTTTATTATTAATTGATATTTATTGTTGAGAATAGTATATAGGTTTTATTTTAACAAATTTGGTTTTCTGTTTTTGATAAATGGATCTATGAGTATTAACAAAAGCAGTAATGTAATACTGAGAATTACTGAATTGACCCAGTCTTCAAAAGTAAATGCTATAATTACCTTTACTGTGATACCCCTTTAGCTAATTACTTTTCATTCCTGTTAGAACTAAAGTGAAAACTTCTAGATCCCCCACATGTACACTGCCCTCTCATACATGTCCAACCCTGGGGAGCAGAATCTGAGTCATAGCTTGGATTGAAGAGGAATTGAACTACCCAGCCGACATTCTTTCTAGTTATAGATTCTGAAAGTTGAAGCTTTTTATTATTATTATTATTATTTCTACCTGTCACAGAGCTATATTCTTCTTTTGATTTTTTTCAAACATCATTTTAAAATGTCAGTACTGTTCTGAGCTTACAGGACTTATAAAGATAGCCAGATTGGCTCTTATGCCATCATTTTCCCAAACCATTTTACAGGACAGAGTTCTAGTTATAAAGTTGTAGATGATCAGCATGTTTACTTTCTAATGGGGGCACTTACTGTAAACTGACCTAGTCAACAGATTTCCCTAGTGTAGAGAAAGTGAGACTTTGAGAAGACTGCAGTAATAGAGCACCTAGGAATAAGTGGAGTGGAAGGAGCTGTCTTGTCCCATTGGTTCATAGCTTGGTTCATTTGTCTGGAGTCAAGATCTTTTTATCTTAGCTATTTCAAGATGGGGCATACCTGTACTCATTATTGACTTTTTTTGAATTCATAAAGTCTGGGGAGAAGCTGATGGAATGATCTGTAATTTGGTTAAAATAACAACTAGCTCGGTAGCTCAACCTAAATTATTTCATGCAGAGAAGTAAAGGAAAACCACTAATAAGGTTTTGACTTAATGTTATCTAGATTCCTAAAACTGAAGAGGGTTTATCTTTACCTCTTGTTCAGTCTTTTCATGCTTTCCAATAATCAGGTATTGTGGCAGACAATGAGGAAGAGAATCTGTTGAGAAATCAGCTGTACCCTCAGAGAACTCCTCATTTGACATGGGGTCCCAACTTGCTAAGAAGTGTGGGACCAGCAGTAGTGGAGGTGTGTGCAAGGCAGTAGTAAGTAGTTCTTACTCTTGAGTACACACTGGAATCACCTGAGAAACTTCCGAAAACTCTGATGTGGCCCTACCCCAGAGGTCCTGGTGTACTTAGTCATGGGTGTGCCGCAGGCTTTTGTTTTGTTGTTGTTGTTGTTGTTATTGTTGTTTTTTAAAAACTCAGGTGACCCTGATGCTGGTGTGCACTGTTGAATTATCCCTGATAATTTATCACAGATTCTTGTCCCATAGAGTCATAAAAAAGGAACTCTCAGACTTTTTAGGCAAATAAGTGGAGCTTATTTAGGTAAATAAGCTAGTTTAAAGGAAGAAAGTAAGGACTCCAGGTACACTGGACTTGGGAAAGGCAAGAAACAAGGGCCCATGTCTAGGGCATGTTTAAACTCCTTTTCTTCCTCTATACCAAAATCTTCTCCTAGTCCCAGCTCCTACAGTTTGCCTCCCCTGTCCAAGGTCTTACTCTCTCAAGTTTAGTCCTTCTGGACTTACTGATCTCATCTCTGTGGTTATTGTGGGGTTAGCACTTCTTAGGATGTACTGTCCTTATCTCAGAAGCCAAAGTCCCTGCCTGCACTATCCCTGAAGACACCATATGACCCTAAATTGCCCTGGGACTCAATCCCACTGTGTAATCCAGGTTGTCCACCTCTGATACAAAGGTGAGACACAAAAAGAGAGGCCTCAGCTGAACTAATGGGAGAGATGAGGTAATGCTTGATCAGTGGAGGCAAGTAATGAGGATGAGAATGAAGCTTTCTAGTCAGCAATGATACAGAGGAGCAGTAAACAGTACATCCTATTCAAGAAGCTTTAGAATACTCATTATGGATATGTTTGGCCAACACAGTCATTCTCTTGGCTGGGAGTGGTGAGCAGAAACAAAAGAAGTAAGCAGTAGCAGATGGTAAAGCTATAAAGGTAGATGTTCATGCCTTGCTAACTTTGGACTTGGCCGATATGGAATTAGGAATCAGTGACTTTTAAGAAGGAGAATAATGTAATTGTATTCATAGTTTAGAAAAATGGCTCTTCTGACTAGTGTGGAGTTGTGCTAATGGTCTTAAAGTTCCAGGCAAGGCGCCCAGTGACAAGGTTACTGCCAAATCCAAGTGAGACATGATGAGGGTCTAAGTATAGGTTAATGGCAGAGAATCTGGACAGGAAATGACAGATTTATAGGAGACTAAGGAGGTGGGATTGGCAGAATGTGGTAACCATGGGTGATTAGGGTGACTCTTGAGTTCCTTCTTTGAATAACAGGTTGGATGGTTGGGCTGCTGACCAAACTTAGAAAATAGCAGGTATTTAGTGGAAAAGAGAGGTGGCTAATAAAATGAACTTTTGACACACTTCAGTTTCAATGCTGTTGGTACTGTAAAGTAGAATTCTCCAGCAAGGCTTTGCACATACAGGTCAAGACTTAGAAGAACAGGTAGTCCTAAAGATATTAATGTGGGAATGATGAAAATATAGGTAGGTCTAGTCTGGCAAAAAGAGATAGCCCAAGTGAGAAATGCAGAGGGCTTTTGCAATACCAATATTTAAACTACGGACAAATGCAAAGAGCCTTTACGTTGGCTAGGAAAAGATTAGGGTGGCAAGAGTCAAACTGAAAGGTGAATGGCTGTAGAAACAGAGGTGTGGGGACTATTTCAAGAAGGGAATTTAAAAGTCCCAGATGCCTTAGAGTAATCAGAGAGCATACAGAATTAAAACATGCCTCTGCATCTTTGGGGCAGTTTCACAGGAAGAGCCCTTCTAGAACTTCTATTTCAGTTGCTATGAGCCTGAAGTTTGACTCCAGTCGAGAATGTGGAATGGATAGATTTAGGAAGCCCTTTTCCTAATCCTAAGGCATAGAAATTTCAGATGAAATTGCATAGCTTTTTTAAAGTATTTTAAACAGATAGCCAAATTAAGATGGAAAAATTCTCCTGATGCTTACAATGTAAGAGCAGTTAAAAGTCATAGCAACAAGCAAGTATTGGAGAGCTCCACAGAGGCATCAGGATCACATGTAAAGATTGTCTCGGGCCATCCAAGCTGCTCTAATGAAATGACACAGGCTAACTGCTTACAAGCAGCAGAACCTTACTCAATTTGAGAAAGTTTTAAAGAGTGTACCCAGGACTCAAATCTAAAAATTAGATTGTGAGATTAATCCATAAATAGTTCAAATAGTATGTAAGAACATGGTGGGGGGGGTGGTAATAGAAGATACCTGTGAATAATTTCAAAGATTTGAAGGAAGTCTAGTTTTTATATCTCTGGACACAATTATTGCTAGAATATTTTCATTAACAGTGATTTAGGGCCCTCCCTGGTGGTGTTTGAAGTAATCTGCAGCCACTGCAGCATGTGTCCTAATCCTGGCCAGGGAGGTGACCCACATGACGCAGCAGACCTCTCCTGACCCACCCGCTGCTCCCCTCAGCAGTGTATTTCAGTACATTTTCCAGTTCTGCTCCCCTACTTTCTGATGAATTCTCTCACCACCACCACCCCCCCCCCACACACACACACACCTCTGGCCTGTACCCCAGTTCTTGCATTCATAAATAAACAGATCTTTAAAAATGTAAAAACTAAAACACAGTGATTTGGGAAATTCTGGAAATCAACTATGGTACTCTTATTTATGCCGACTTTCAAAAAATCAGGCCACAGTTGCTCCCCACAACATGGAACCACTTTGTATTGAGTTGGGTTTTAGATTTAGGTTTGTTTTGTCTACATTAAATCATCTATTAGGTAAAGTAGATTCTGTCATGCCTACACACATGCACACCTCATAAATACTGGAGATTCAGAAGTGTGTGATGCCCCCCATAGAGCCCTTCCACCACATGACACCCCTGCCTGTGATGGACAGGAAACCTCCTGGAATCTTGGTCATCTTCAGAGGTGTAGCCAGCTAATTAGCACTCCCTTCATAAATAAATGTCTTTCCTGTCACCTAGAATTGATGGTGATGATTTTTTTTTAGACCATTGAAATTAGTTATGGTGATAGAAATGTTGAACAGAAAGAGCAGCTTTTAATTAAATTGAAATTGAATACTTAAGAAGACGTCACAGGTACATTCCGGTAAGAGCAGTGTTAGTAGCTGACCCATGGGCCCCATTACAGGAATTGAAGGCTGTCAGCCGTGGGTCACTGGTGCAAACCCACTGGAGACAGCAACAATCAAAGACTTTTTCTGCCTGACATCAGGGGCAGATTTGCTTTGCTTTGAATAGCGGAGTGTCCATAGTATAAAATATACCTTCAAGTAGAACTAATTGGTTGTTTAAACCAAGAAATAGGAGAACAAACTTTTGCGACACCTCTGTCCATTTTTAGAGACCATTTATGTTGTCATTTGATAACCACCTTTTATATAGTTACCCTCACTTTTTCCTTGTCCAACATCTTCTTAAAGATACCCCAAACCTACCATACACTTGTAATAATCCTAAGGGATTAACCATGGTAAGGGGAACTAATTAGTGTTACTGACTTTCGCAGTTACTCAACGAAGAAACAATTAAATCTAGACTTGGTGTTAACCAGTCATGTTTACTTATTAATAGTTGTCACTGCTTCAAGTCAAGTCACAAATTGTGTTAGTAAGAGAGATGGGCATGGGATATTAATGTTTTCACCAAAGATAGGTGAAGAATGCTAAAATCCCTTTCCTATTGGTCTTTTTTAGGAGCATTGTCCAATCAGAAGAAAAGCTTGTTATCAGTGCATCTTGGGCAAAAGATGACGACATCAGCAGACTCTTGAAATCACTACCAAACTGGATTAATATGGCTCAGCCCAAACAGCTGAGGGCAAAGAGAGAAGAAGAAGAAGATTTTATAAGGTAAAATGTCTATTCTCCTAAGTTGTACTAAACATAGGTAAGGAAGACATCTGTTTAATTCCTTCACTTTTAATGACACTTTGCCATTTCTAAATATCAAGCAGCAACTAACTGAACTTAGTTAAGTCCAGTTTGATCCTCATTTTCCATGCCAATTTGCCTTCCTTATTCTCAAAAGTTAGGAAAAAAAGGGGCTATTATGAATCAACTTTTCAAATTTTTGCTAATTGAGTTAGAACACTTTTTTAATATGTTGGTCATTCGTCCCTCTTAGAAGAACACGTCTCTCATTTATTCAGCAAATCTGTATTGAGATTCTGATGTGCCAAATCTTGGGAACTTGACAATCAGATTGTGTTACAATTGTTCTTAGCTTGTTCTGCAACTCGTAGAACTGTTAGACTTTCTAGAAATAGAAATGTGTGTCCCACATTTTTCATAAACATTGTATCATCTGATTTTTTTCCTACTTGTCTTAACAAAGGTCAAGTCTCTCTCTCAATGTAGTCACTCAACATTTACCTTTGTGCAACTTAAGGTATTTACTGACACATGAAATTGTGGTCTGTTTGATGATGTGGCTCACGCACCACAGTGAAACATTTTAATCTTTGACATTTTAAAGTTCTGTGAAGTGATGGAAAAATGGAGGTACTGTTTTATGATATTAATATTAGATTTATCCTTATCGTCTTTCGCTATTCAAGTAAATGAATGAAAAGTTAAAACAAAAATCACTTTAAAGACGCAAAGACCAGAAACATGAAAAGAGTACAATGGCTAATTTTTTCATTCATTGTAGAACTGGGCTCATCTCTTTCTCAGAATAAGTTACAACTGTAAATAAATAGATCTTTTCTGTGTTCATGACTATCCATACTGTATCTTAAAGGTTGCTATCAAGCAATTTTAAACCTTCTCAAAATCATGATGCTCAAAAATCAACCTGTAACTTAACCTAAATTCTTCCTGTTTGTTTCTTCTTCCTCATCAGTCAGATGATCTAAGAAAAATTCATCAGCTGCTTCTTAACATCTGCCTTCTACTAGGTATCTGGAGGTGTGTCGTGGTTTTCTGTTTTGTTGTTTTTGTTTTTTAAGATTTATTTGTATTTATTTATACATACAAGAACTGAAGTATAGGCCAGAAGAGTGGGGCATGAGGTGATATACCAGATACAGAGTAGGGAGCAGAACAGACAGGTCTACTGAAATACACTACTGAGGGTGCCAGAGGGCAAGACAGGAGATCTCTACTGCGCCATGTGGGACAGTGCCACAGCCAGGGATTGAACTGATGCCAGTGGCTGGCAATAGCTTTATAGTGCTGAGATTTTAACCCCTCTCCCTGCACCACCAGGGAGGCCCTCATTGTGGTTTCTATGCTTGTCTCTCATAACCAATGAAGTTGAGCACTTTCTGATGTGTTTATTGATCATTAGGATATCTTCTTTTGTAACAGCGTTATTCAGTTTGTAGTTTACCCATTTTTCATTTTTCTGTATTTTTCCCTACTTATTTGTAGGAATTCTTTCTCTAGATGTCACTTCTTTGTAATAGGTTGAGGGAGCTACAAATGTTATTTTCTCTTGGTTTGCAAGTTGCCTCTTTACTCTCTCAATGGTGTCTTTTTACCTGTAGACAGTCAAATTTTATTAAATAAAATTTATCATTGTTTATGGGTAGGGTATTTGGTATGCTATTGAAGAATCCTTTTTAACATCAAAGTCACAAAAATTCTTTCCCTTTATTGTGCTGAATATATTTTTCCCAAGCTTATGAAATCAATTAAAAACTCTTAACTTACTATTTCCTTCTCCTATTCGCTACATTTCCCCTTAATTTATATGATGTTGTCATAACAATAGTAACAAAGAATAGCCTCATGTTTTTTCTGTGAAGAAAAGTAAAGAAGCATCAGTTGATTGGAGCCCCCCCCCCCCAAGTAGAAAGAAGCAAAACTGACCTTAGGGGGGAGATCAGACCACATGACACTATTCTTTCTCAGTATTGCAGTCATATTTTCCTGCTGCCAGGTCTTTAAAAGTCTGGGTAGGTTTTGTCCCATTCCTTCTCTTTAAATATATTCAGTATTCTGGAGAATAAATTATTAGTCCTCAGCTTTTCAGGTTACTTTAAATAAATGTATTTCTTCAAGTTCCCCAGAATTATTATTTCTTCAAGTTCCCCAGAATTATTATGTAATTCTTTAATTGTATTGTACACCTGCAAAGAGATTTCAGTTTTATTATTTACCTTCAATAACTTTGAATAATGGGGAAAGGTTCTAGCCCTATTTCCAAAAAGAGAAACTGCTCGAAGAGATAAGTCTCCATATACCTTATGCTCCTGACTTAAATGACCTAGAATTTGGGTCCTGGCTGTCTTTATTCTGCTTGGCTTACTGAATTGTATCAATTTCTACCATAAATGTGAAAACAAACCCAATTATACATAGATGTGTAAAATGTTTGGGTGTGTGTGTAGGATAGTTATATCCTATATATATATATATGTATATATATATATATATATAT